GTCTCCGCTGTTCTAGCTCTCTCTCCTTCAAGTTGATGGCCAAAACCATCCGGTTTTGAGGCTCTTCGTAGATAGCCTCGGACCAGACCGGTTCTGAAGCTCACCCCAGATGACCTGGATCAGATCAGCCGGGTGCACCAGCCAGTGCTTTGGCCAGCTGTGCCCGACTTGTCCCTCCGCAACAGAACACCTACAGTCAACTTGACATCACGCACCCAATCAAGACCGGAACCCTCGATAACAACCTGTAAGTAATTATTTCATTTTATAGACAAATATTAACCTAGATTTAATTATTATTGGTATGTAAAGAATAAATTTCAGTAAATATAGTTGCTGATTTCCTTTTCTCTGCTGTCATGTTCATCTCTGTCGTGCCCTACTTCATTTTGGTTCTTTTGAATTAGTCGCACATAAAAGTTATTTCGGAAACAGCTCTTGGAGATATCTAGGTCAACTGTTATCAGAATTGTGAAAAGTGCCTTCTGTTGCAATTTTGAGATGTTGACTGCTGAATTTGATCCAAATAAGTCCATTTCATTTGCAGGTCAGAGCTGATGCTGAATGTCGTGCGGAAGGGTGTCCTTAGTATGGGAAGGTGACAGTCAGACTGAATTGCCACCTAATGCGGCAGCAAAACTCAGCAGATCCTGAACATGACAGCCTTCCTCCATGTTTAATTGCCAAAGCTCGCTGACAACGACTTCTAAAAAGACAAGAAACCTGCTTAATGAAGGTTGTTTTCACAAGAAACTGTTTTTCAGCAACTCCGACCAAGCACCTCCGCAATGTGCACCAAATGACTATCAACAGTATAGGAAAGAGTAAGTATGAAAAGGCTGCTAGAAAATACTCTCTTTTAGTGTTCGGTTTGAGAATGCAACTTTATCAGGAAGAAGTTGGGCAATGTTGGGGGCCAGGGGCTTGAGAATTTTTTGTTGAACCTCCCGTGAGTTTCTTTTTTTTTTCAAAAGCATAACTAATAAAGGCCATTTGCTTTATTTAGTATATTCTTTGTTTGAAGAAGATGCTGAAGTCATGCAACTGGTCAAACCCTAAAAGGCAATTGCAAAGATGAACAAGAACATTGAATTGAGCAAGATGTAATCCTGAAATTTTAGGAACAAAGCATCGGTTCTCACTTTCTTGGTCGATAGCTTTATAGTATTTCAGGGTTTGATAGCTCTGTCCCCCCTTAAATAGCATTAGTATGCACAGTTATTGCAGATATTTTCTTCGCTTCCTTTTCTCTCAGACCTGTAGCCCGAAAAGATGGTTCAGTCTAATATTTGTCCTATAGTCCCTTCTCAAGGTATGTTAAAAGTGTTTGTGCCATATATTTTTGTGAATTGCACTTTGTTATATCTTGATAGACGGTGGCGACTTTTAAATTTTTTCACATCCTGTGTTGAACTGAACTGAAACGAACTGAACAAATTGTACCAATTACCACAGCATATATACTTTCCATGGTGAAATTCCTCTTTAAGATTAGACATACAACTGAAATCTGGGACCTCAAAACGTGCAAGTCGTAGTAGTTCAGAGTTACGTAGATCCCTAGGAAAATTCGTTAATGTGTATTACTTATGAAGAAGAGTCTAGACAAGAAAAATTAAATACATGAAAATAGGCAGAGCCCATTTTTACTTTGAAACCAATTTTCCCATATTTGTACATGTTTATTTCATTTAAATCCATTTCAGTACCAATTGTTAGTAGCGTGGAAATGTCGTTATACTCGAGCATGTTTTTTTTTCCAACGGTTACACAGTAGTAGCGAAAAGAATCAGCCCAGGTTAAGGACAAAATTTGAGATGCCAGTTGCTTCACAACCGTCATTTTCTCTGTGTCAATTTTTTTGTTAAAGATTTTAGCCTTCGCTTTAATCCGTATAAAGTGTGCCACTGTTTAAAGGTTACTTTTACTGAGAAAGTTACTAAGGCTGGCCTTTAATGGTTATTCTTTTTACTTATGAAAAAGAACCACGGTTTTCATGAGGAAGACGACCCCGACAAATCTTCGCATCGTATCATAGACCCCTTGGACGGTTTTTGTAAGCCCTCGTACTGGTTGTGGGATTTAAGTAGGTGAAGAGATACATTTAAGCTGCAAACATAGTTTCAGGCATTTTGGCCCTTTCACATGTTCTCTTTCGTGTTTCAGGGATGTCACTCGTATAATTCATTATTATTGTGGTTTGTTTTACCTTTTCCAGACAATGATTACCCCGCTGTGGTGGAACATCCATTAAGCAAAGATTGTCTCTGTAGCCCATGTAACTGCAGCCATGGAAACTTGGTAGTCATTTATGTTCTTCCTTTGCTCACCTAGTGAATAAGACAATGCAGCATAATCAGTTGTAATTGTGTTAGTTTTCTGTGAAAATATGAGCACGAGTAACTTCCAATTCAATTATCTGCATGTTTATATTAGTGTGTACCTTTTTCTGCCACAGGTGTACGTTTTCCCCTTCTGCACATGTCACATAATTTAAAAGACATTGATAAGCGCCATTTTCATTTATATTGTACTAGAACTTTTTACATAGTGCATGTATTTGTTTGTGCACCCTTTCCAGGCTGCGAACTAATTCCATTTGACGACGAAACTCTACCAGGATCGATTCCATACCCAAAAGTAAAACCAGTACAAGTTGAGTTTTGGATAAGAAAGGGATTGCGAGAGCCTCGTCTGCAGTTGTGCAGACTTTCAACGGGAATAAGTATATGTCCCTTTTTATAAAAAAGATAAAAAATAATATCAAGTGAGCAATGGGATTCATTCACAAATTCTTTAGAGTCATCAGGAAAGTTTGCAACCAAAGGTTCACTGGGCACATTTCACAACTTTGCGATACTTTGCCTTACTTGTGTAATAGCAAAGCATTTTTGTTTTGCATTCATTTTTACTTCAGACAGATGCAATGTTTTATTAGTTTTCCTTTTTAATATGTAGTTTTGTGCAGAATAGAGTCATTCACGTTTTTAAAGGATCTGTTATTTTTTGTTTTTACCATGAATGACCAAACTATATCCATTGTATTTCACAGTGATTGTCGAATATGAGATTTCTTAAAGAAGAAAAAGATGCATGATTTCAAAACTATTCCCAACAATACACACATCTCTGTTTTTGATACTTTCTCAGATGTTAGATTAATGAAGGAGTTCCACTTTTCCATCTTACTGCAACTTCTTTATTACTTATCGCTGATGCTGTTTACATAAACCTATTAAAGACAAAAATATTAGCTTTCAAATTGTTTTGAAATAATCATCGTGTTTAACATTTCTTTGCCAATGAGGTTGCTTTTATTTAAATGAAAATTGGACGGATTTTTATTAAGTAAGCCTTAGTTATCGCATCTGTGATTATGCGCACATCCCTTCAATAAGAGTCCAATCACCTTCATTACTATAGAATGATCTACTTCGGTTGCTCATCGTAATTTTCAAAAGACTTACGATTAAACTCATCACTTTAAACCCTGCTGAGAAGTTTCTGTAGAATGCTTTCATTTGATTGTATTACTAAATCTTGAATTATTTGATTTTTAATGTAAATGAAAGTCACATTTTGGCCACTGTCAGAGCTGATGGAGTCAAGACTAAGGGTATGGATGTAACTACACGAAATCTGTAAAATTACTGCTGTTTCAATTCCACGACTTTTTGCTCTCAGTTTTCAGTTTAATAAGCATATCCATGTAAATGTAAAAACAAAATACGGAGCTCGGTGACAACTGTTTACAAAAGAAAATCACTGTCGACTTTTTAATGTCCCATTTCCTCGTATTTATGAATTAATAATGGATTAAGATGAGTAGAATTGCGATAGCGATAATAGCAGTAACAATTAAAAACCAATAAATGACATGTAAAAAACTGTGACTGCATTTGATCAATACGCGAACTGCACTTGGATGAAAACTGTGCAAGGCTGGAGTGGAATCTACACAGATTGATCTGTAACGCTTTCCTGTTCTCATTAGCTAAAATAGGTCTTTGCAGGATGGAATTCATCTGAAATAATTAACCTAGACTTCTTCAAGACGTGCCTCATAAAGTTCTGTGTCCTTTCCGTATGGTCCGACGTGGGTAGCTTTATACAACCAGTAATAGTGCTGGCGGTGTTTACACGATTGAGGCATTTCTGGTCTTCCACTGGCGGTTCTGACAGCGATTGAGAACTGTGAAGACACTCTTTTGACGCCACAGAGAGCGCTAGGCACCAGGCATAAGTACAAAGTGTAGCAAAATTATGTGCTATGTACCTTTGGTCTAAAGAGGGCACTATACTATGCATCATTGTGAAACATGGCTGCTTCCACAAAGTGCCAAACTTGCATGAATACTTATGAAACTCGTGTCATTATCGCTTGAAACATGGTGGCAGCGGCGGTATAGCATCATGAATATTCATAGAAGCTTCTGTAACTAAAGTTTTTCTGCTATTGACAACATTTTGGGCCTAAAAGGCACGATATTTGTTTTTTCTGTCAAGCATGTAACTGATCTTTCACTACATTGTACCGCACGTACTGTACATATGGATATACTTAACTGTGGCTTTTTGTGAATTCTGCCAAGTCTACTCGAACGATCGGTACTCTCTGTCTCTCTCTCTCTATCTGTCTCTAATAAAACCATTGACGAATGACTTTTCATAACTCCAACAGTTATCTCTGCTCTTTGTTTAGCTAATACATCTACTGTGAGTAAGCCTACTGTTGGCTTCACCATAAACTGAATCTACAGTTAAAATGCCAAAAACTCGTGGAGCTACGGGTACCCAAGCTGTTGCCAACTCTAATAATGCCGAACAGTATAAAAAGCCACACATCAATCCACCATCGCAATTTAATGCAAGTGCTAAAGATGCAACCGAGGAATGGAAGATTTGGCGTCAAAAAGGACAACTACTGTATTTTCACAAACCTGGCAAGCTGGACTGAGTTTTACCAGACTGCACTGTTACTCCTTAGCATTGGTACGGAAATGAACGCATATACAACGGCATGAAATTTGATGATCCTACGGACAGTCAGAAATGCGTCAGGATTCTCGAGAAATTGGACCCACATTCTCTGGGCCAACGTCAAGAATTGTATGAGCGATTCAAATTTAACCGTCACAACCAAGAGGAAGATGAGCCCATGGAGCAGTACATTTCTACACTCCACACCATGAGCAAACCATGTGTCCTTTGTTAATGTGTGAAGGACAAACTCCTCATGGACTGCCTATTGATGGGCGTACGTGACAACAACATGAGAGAGAAGATGATGGCAACTTATGTCCTTACTTTGACCACGGTAAGTGAAATCTGCAAAGCAGTTGAGATGGCAACCTTGCAGATAAAACCGTTGAGATGGAGGAAACTGTTCACAAAGCAAAACCGAAGAAATCTGACAAAAAGCCACAAAAGTCAAAGCAACATCCCCCTCGCAAAGCTCCAGTCATTGAAAGTGGGAAGCCGTCCACTAGACGATGCAAGTTGTGCTGTTGCGTAAACCATCCTATGAAAAAAGAGATTTGGCCAGCCTGGGGCCGTACCTGTGATCCTAGCTTGCGGTGTAAAAAACACTTCAAGAAAGCCAGAGCGTGCAAGAATCACCGTGTTCATGCAGTTGAAGACGGATACACTTTTTCGTCAGCAAAGAGTGCGAGGTGAGCTGTGGTGAGAAAGCTGTTGAACAGATTGGACTCATCACCGTCAACTACGACAAGTTCTCTCAAGTCCGTCGTGTTACTCCAACTCATGCTGACTTTATCAGTGAGTACCCTATGTTTTCGATGCATCTGTCATGGGCACTCTGCCTGGTCAAAGAGTGCACCTCACCGTTAGCTCAGATGCCAAGCCTGTAATACGTCCCTCACGTATATTTCCTGAGTCACTCAAGACTGCTGTGAAAGCTGAGCTCGAGAAATGGACAAACCGGAATGTGATTGCAGAAGTTGATGAGCCCACCAAATGGGTCAGTCAAATGTCTGTAGCCAAGAACAAATCTTTCTTTCAGAATCTGCATCGATCGTGGTCCTCTGAATATATACCTCACTAGGGAGCACTACACTCTTTCAGTCCTGAATGACATCCTACCAGAGGTGAACAAAGCCACTCATTTCTCAATCTGTGATCTCAGAGATGGCTACCTGCTCTGCGAGCTTGATGACGAGTCCAGTTAGCTCACTGCTTTTGCCACACCCTGGCCCAGATACCGATGCAACAAGATTTTCCTGGAGCGATTGCATTGTGATACGCATTGTGCATGTACATGTATATACGACTATGTGGGCACGTTGCTTCTTGTATTATATTGTATAACATTGCAGGTCTGCAACCGCGGGATAACAGGGGCAAGTGTTATTGTTTGAATATGTGGCGCATATCGTCACAGTTTTCACAAAGAGACAATTTTCTCATTGGATTGCAAAACATAGGTTTTGAGAAAATCGCATTTGAAGTTGGTCTCTTTTTCAAACGCTTAATTTCATAGACTTAGCGTTCCTTTAAATTCACCAATGCTACTCCGTGAAAGAGGGGATGTTACATGACACAATACTACAAAACTAATATTTGTAGACGTTAGTTAAAGTTGTTTATTTTGTAAACAAACAACATTGTCTGTTCGTGAAATCCTAAAATTTGTGGTTAAGATTGTCTCTTCGTGAAAACTGAACACACAGTACACGCCTTCGCTATAGAACGTGTGCCAGGTGCAACATTGTTACATTTTTATACATTTCTGAAGTCAAACTGTCTAGAGATAAAAACTGCTAAACCAGTTAGACGGTAGTTTAGCTCTCACTAGTCTTTCTCTGATGTTTTGGGGGGTTCCAGAAAGATTTCTGAGAGTAGTCCATTGCTTTGAATGAGGTGCCAATGTTTGTTCAAAGCTCATTGAAGGTCACGGTGGTTAATGGCTGGGTTGTAGGTGGTAACGAAGGGGTGTTTGTTTGTTTGTTTGTTTGTTGGGGTGTTTGTTTGTTTGTTTGTTTGTTTGTTTGTTTGTTTGTTTGTTTGTTTGTTTGTTTGTTTGTTTGTTTGTTTGTTTGTTTTTGTTGTTCTTTGCATCCTTTGCATTGTTTTTAAGCCTTGATCGTTCGGCATGTGAGACTTTGGATGTAGTTGCTTCGATTTCTGTCGGTGGGTACCCTTTGTTGAGTAGTTTATCCGAAAAAGATTCGTTTGAAATCATCCTCGTTGGTTGCCCAGAAAGTGTGGGGTGGGTGGGAGGAAGTGTTATAGAGATATTGGCATGTTTCCGTGGGTTTCGTGTAGATCTTTGTGCCTAGAATGCCCGTTTCACGGAAGCGTTTTCCTTTGAAAATAGTAAGGTCGAGGTAGTTTAAGGTTGTTTTTGAGGCCTCGTATGTGAACGAAGGGTAGCATCACAAATTTCTGGGCTGGCTGTAGAGCCCATGGCACATCCAATTTTCTGGAGAAAAAAATTGTTTCCTAAGCGGAAACAGTTGCGGCCGAGGATGAGTTCCAGAAGTAATTGGACGCAGGTTGAGTTGGGTTTTGTGATAGTGTAGTTATAGTTGGATTTGTCCATAGCATCACATACGCATTGGATTGCTTCTGCTTGACGGGCATTCGTGTACATCCTAACAACATCAATGCTGGTTATTGGGACATTTGTGGGAAGGTTGTTCCTTCCAATTTGCGCAATAAGTCCGCTGTGTCGGGGCATATGTTGGATGCACGGTTACTATGGGAAGGAGAAAGTAGTCTATATATTCTGAGATTGTTACTGTTGGGCTTGTGCATCCTTCCAACAAAGGGTTCTCCCGGTGGTGGAGTTTTACGTATTTTGGGGAGAAAATACATGGTTGGACCTTGGCATTTCTGTGGAAGTGGATCTAAATATCTCAGAGTGACATTGTCGATTTGGTTGTTGTTTCTCATTTCAATTAGCTTGTTGTGAACCAGGGTTGTGGTTTGCGGAGTTATGTCTTGGTCCAATTCAGTGTAATGGTGGGACTCAAGATGGCGGTAACCCACGTTAAGGTAGTCTTGGATAATTATCCATAATACAGATACCTGTGCCCTTGTCATAGGGTTTGATTACGATGTCTGGGTGATTTTTAACACACATGTATATTTATACACACAGAGAGACTGTGTGTATATACAAAAGTGCTCTAAAGCCTTTGAAAAAATCTTGTTACAGCAATAATAGAGTAATCCATCCTAGCCTGACCCTTTCTCTTTTCTGAAACGCTTCTCCCGACTCGGACATGCCGTATCGCTGCTGCGTCGAAGTCGGGGTCGGCACATTTGCGACAGGGTCGGGAGACTTCAACGTTGGGACAGAGCCTTTCTTCGGTCGAAACTGAGATTTGAAAGCCACCTGAGTCTTCAGAATGGTTGATTATCAGCACAATTTGCTGCAAAATGTTCACCGTGCATCAGAAACCAGTTGATCGACTTGGAATCTGCTGCGTGTGATATGGTTGACAAAGTTGGCCCACCTTTTGCGTGAAATCAAAACCTCAGAAAATTAACTTCGAGATTTTAAGGTAATTCCAAGAATATCCGCTGACTTCGGCATGTTCATTTTCCTAAAAGTCCACCAAACGAATGTCGGGAAAACAGCTAAGTATAAAAGTTCCTTACTTGCAAACGCACATACACACGACTTGGCCAGTACAAGGTAACACTATGATCATGTTTACGGGTCAGAGGAATATCGTTTACATCCATTAAATACGAACGTGGTTTTCGAAAACGATGGAACTGTATCGTATTGGAAACGTCAAATTCAACTTTTGCTTTTATTACTCTAAAAGAAACCATGAGGTAAAATAATGTTCTGACTGTAAAGTTAGTATATATTTTGACAAATGAACCAAACACACAAAAAATTCAACTTTGTTAGATGTGCACTTTTAAACACTCTCGGTAATTGAAATCACAACAAAATATTCAATATAATGTATTCAATATTCAATATAACAAGCAAAACATAACCATAGAGTACGTGAAAAGCCATTAGTCTAGACCAAGGATTACACACACACAACTACATCTACAAATAATTATCGGGAAGAACAATAGAGCATCGACAAAGCTTTTTGTTTTTGTTTTTGTTTTTCTACACAGGGCGGGATTACCGATTGAACCGTCCTACATCCCTGCACGTCTGCTAGGCCTCACCGATAGAATGACGTTTCTCCAGCGAGTGCAGAATGTCCTGGCTCACGTGTATTACCGATTATGGTTGTTCCTAGCGTTCGACTTTAAGGGTTTCGATCAGCTTAAAGTCAAGCATAACATCCGGCCAGAGATCAGCACTTATGAATCCAACAACCACGCTTCATTCTACCTATTCCACGGGAGCTTTGCCTTAGAGTTTCCTAGACCAATGCAACCCAACACAGCATACGTCCTCTTCAAAGCTGGTTCAGCCACTCACACAACGGTACAGTACAGATCTCGATGAACAGGTTATTCAAAGCTTAGGTAAATTCCTCGGTGCATTTCAAAGTGCTGTGAGACAAATGGCTTAACTGGGGTAAATTTCCTTGGGTAGTAGTAAAAGCTATATGAACTGTGACTTTATACGAAGGGTTATTGCATGCAACAAGCAGGCGCTCTCAATACAAAATTGCAATAATTGTCGTAATAATTGCTGTAATTTGGCACGGCGCATTATAGCCTCCGCCCAAGATGTGTTACCTTCTCAAAAGTCACCATATAAATTAAATAGGTAGGCCTATTCTCCCCGAATTGGAACAGAAAAACGAGCACGCTTCTCAGTGTAGTAGTATTTTATGTAAAGGTAATTATAGGAGTGTCCTGGAAATGAAAGAAGTTTGATAATTTCATTATTTTTCTCAAGCATGTTTGTGCAACTTACTTGAACATCCAAGACATTAGGTGAGATAGAGATCTTAGAAATACGTAATAGTGTTGAGAACTTAAAGCAAACTCCAAACCCTCCATAATAGTATGCAATATGTTCTACAACCTGTTTACAGCATAAAAGTTCGAGGTACCAGGAAAGAAATAAAAGTAATCGAAGTTCTTCTTTTTAACTTATCCCCGTGCATTAGATTGAATACGATGTGGCGAATTTTCTAGACACAGCTCCCAATGGCGTGGTTTTGTTTTCGCTAGGCACTCATGTTTCACGCATGGAGCGCCAAATGACCCAGGTAATCGCTGATGGTTTCGCTTTGCTTCCACAACGGGTCCTCTGGCAGAGCGCAGCAGGGTTACCCACTGGAGTCAAGCTGGCAAACAACACCAAGATTGTTCGCAGGTTGCCATTATCCCAGATCATGGGTGGGTGGTAGTCTCCTCCTTATTCGATTTCAACACTGCTGTCAAAATGTTCGCTTTTATTGATTATTAATTATGTAGATTTTAGAGGGGTTCGTTAACCTTCCACAATTCAGCTTTATTAAAATTCATAGTCTCCCCGACAACCGTCAGTCTCCGTCGGAAGTTGCAGTCGGGGCCCTGTATTCCCGAATCCTTACGATAAACACTTCTACGGTTAGTTGGGAGCTATCAAAGTCAACATGGTGATAGTTTGACCAAGTCAATTTTTCTGATCCACCCAGAACATGCCAACGTGAAAGTGTTCGTGAGTCACGGCGGTAGTTTTAGTATGTACGAGGCGATGTGGGTTGGACTACCAATGGTGGGTCTACCTCTCTTCGAAGACCAGGAGGACAACTTTGACCGGCTAGAGGACCGGGGGGTGGGGCTAGCTCTTGACATCACCACCTTAACGCCGGAGTTACTGAGTCAAACCATTCAGAAAGTCATCTCCGACCAAAAGTAAGATTGGAGTTTGTGGCCAAGGGGCCGTTAGGTCAAAACAATGCCATAGGTTCAATCCTGCCATGTAAGTCTAGTACCAAAATTCAAAACTCAGTTTTTAATTAATAAGGAAATGTTTGTCGAGATCTAACGAAGCGCAAGGTTTTATCATTGTTCAGTAGGGAATACCAGGGGGTGGGTTCAACGGTAAATGGGGTCAAGGAGGTCATTTTAAGGAAGCACAAACACTTCAGAAACGGCACTACCCCCTTCTCTCAGGGTTCTTCAAAGACGGAAAAGTGGACAATTGTTTCAGGAAAAAGTCAATTTGGCTTCTGGACCCTAAACCTTGGTAAACCACTATTTTTGTAATAAAAGCAATTAGGCCGTGAAATATAATGCAGGCTTCTGTTGGCAATATAATTTTTTACAAAACATCCATCAACTCGATCTGGGTCAGGTTCAGACCACGAAAGGCGTTTTGGCGCACAGACTTCTTAACTTTTGCACCCGAAAAATAGAGCCGTACTCCCGAGTAGTGGTGTGTAGTAAATTCTAAATACTCCTGGGTTCAGATTGACCCGGAATTAATGTCCCGTTGAACCTGACCCACCTCTGGGTCGAAATATGGCCATTTCCAGGTTAAACATGAACTAGGAAAGGGTCGTCATGGCCTAGAAGAGGGTTAGTTTTTGACCTGGCAAAAGTCAAGCCCAACAGCTACAGATTCCGCGTCAGTTTGACTCAGGAGTTTTTAGAGTGCATTACGTCGCTGATTCAAGTGCCCTTCACCAAGTTGTCCGAATGTTTGAAAAATCTTTAGGTCTAACTTGAAGTCGTTCCCACGGTGTCAAATTTTTTTTTAAAAAACGACTCTGAGGACAGTCTGTCGTTGGGTTATTTGCTTGTGCAAAATGCTACTTAAGTTAATAACAATGACATATCAGGACAGTGTTTCAGTGTTCCTATTAGTATCTGGTGTCGATCTTTGGTAGTGCTGCGTCACAGTGTAATGTTTACCAACAAGTAGAAATTATGAAAAGTTGTCAGTATAAAACTAAAAGAATAATTCACAAAGTATCAAGAAATCTCACGGATCTATTAAAACGCAAACTTATAAATACTCTGAATTCACATCTGAAGGATTCTCTATCTTTAACACCAATGGACTAAATGCTCAATTTGAAGTAAAAGCTGTTTCTAACCACATGTGGACTTCAGCCGGCTGTATATAATGGCTGACACATATTGGGATTGGATGGGAAACAAACCATGCATTTTATGTAAAACTCAATGTGCATGTGAACATGAAAGAGTTTTCTTTTCATCAAATATTCAAAATCAAGCCTCCAGGTTTTCAAACAATCATGTTACAGCAAAGCTTTTCAATAAAACGTTTTTCACAAAAACCAAATTTCAAGATTTTCAAAAAGAAACCTTTGGGAAGTCCTTCATCGTGCAATGAATTCACATTTAATTTAAAGCAGAACTCTTGGCGGCGCTTTTTCATGTTAGAAGCTTTTTGATAGTTGTCTTTTTACTTCAAAGTATTTCTTCGGTAATCAATAGGTGCACTGTGGCATGCATCTGTGACTTGAAGACCAGAACAGGTATTTGAAACAGAATGTCACCTAACGTTTGACTTGTTTACTCATAAAATTTATAGGGTGCGTTCGATAAGCTTTCCTGAAAACACCAGCGCTACACGCAAGGAAAACCTCGAAATGAGGCAAATCGAACTGCTGCAGCGTATTCGCCAAGATAGTCTGGGTAAAAGGTTACGTCCCCACCACGTTCCATCACGTCCGTGCTCGAACAGTCCAACCGTGACGTCATTACACTCGGGCAGCCTCCCCAGACCCTCTCGTCAGCGTTTGTAGTGGTGGCTGACACCAGGACAGGCACGAAGATCACGTGATGGCTAAACGAACGCTGTCGTGTAGGTTTGGCTTACATGTGAGCTAATTGAACACACCCATGGCTTGTTTGTCATCCAGTCCCATGATGCGACTGGACTGTCGTGAGAGTTTTGTTCTAAGTTTTGTCTTTGCTACGTAACAGTTTCAAACATTTACTTTTTTCAAATTAAAAGTGTGAAAACATTTTCCATCCAATCTGCAGAATAACATTTTCAGATAAATCTCATTTGCTTCCTTCTTTCAGGAAATCTCCCTGATTTGGAAAAGTAGCTCCTAAAGAAATTTTTTTGGTTCACTCTCGGCGTGATACTGAAATCCATAGCTTGAGGGACAATTCAGTCAATTTTTAACAAGAAAAAAAAAGAAAAAGAGAAATTTTAAAACATTAACCTGTCCTGTTGGCCTGCAAACATGCAAAAACGTAAAGCAGATTGTAACGTGTACTTTGGAAAATGAAGGAGCTAGAAATGGGTTCAATTGAACTGGTGTATCATTAGGAATCACGGTTGAAGTTGCTCCCGCCATTCTCTTTTCTCTTAAATTCTTTCCTTTCTTTTGCGTTTTGTTTTCTTTTTACTTTTCGAAACCCGTATTTCTGTTTGTTGGTTCGGGGAGGAGGATATAATAATAACAACTGCAAATGTTATTTGTAGCCAGCACAGGTTTAATACCCCTGGCCATTAAACAAAACTAAAAATTCTTAAATGCTGCAGATTAGCTCAAATTAGCAAATGTACTTGAAAAAAAGGGGGGCAGGTTAGAAATTGTGTGTTTTAAGATTCAAGATTAAAATATATTATTATGCAAAAATAACATAGCAATTTACTTTCCATTGGCTTGTTGTTAACAGTAAGTTATTGCATTCCTCAATCACACTTGATAACAAATTTCCTGTTCAAATTAAAACAGTTTAAATGGGCCGGCAAGAGACTATGAAGCTGTATTTCTAGCTCAGTATAACTGACAAGGTGCCTGTTATCCTGCTTTTTTCTGAACCCAGGCCCGACACAAACCGTGGGCGGGGGGTGGACTGGGGCCCCATTGCAGCTCCCACTCCCCTAACAGTAAAAGCCATTTGTATCAGAAATATTATTCTTGTGATATGTCGCCCTTTGGCCCCCCGAAGCTGGCGACAGGGATATCTGAATCCCCGAAGAGTCATTAGTTAGAGACATCCAAGCCGGCTTCTAAGGAAGTAAGGGATATATAGAAGGTATTGAAATATCTTCATGATTGCACCATTCGTTGAAGAACATTTGAAGACATCTGCTCAAGTTGGATGAACTCTAGTTGCAATGGGGAAGGGCTTGTCTTATAGAACACAATATTTGCCTGAATTCAACATTTGCTAAAATTAATGCTGATGGTGTTGTAGCAAGAAGATATCGTTTGAAATGCCGGGGCTATACGCAAGTGCTAGACCCCATTTGAAGCAAGATATGGGACCGAGAGAACTCCCCCCCCCTCCACCTTTAGGCAGGTCATTGTTTGATCGGAATCTCAGAAATTCTTTGCAGACTTCTAGGGGACAATAGTCTAGAGTGTGTATTGGGATTGGACAGGTAAGGGGGGTACCCCCTCCGTCCCATATTTGCCTGGTATACTGGACCCAACTAAACATGGCATATGGATGGCTATGATAAGTAATGTTGAAGTTTTCTGGCATTGCTATAATTGAATGCTTTGATAAACATTCTAGATACTTGAGTTCGTCAGAGGCAAGCATCACCAATAACGATCACCAAGTAACATTAGGATATTATTTGGCAGCAGTTTCTGCAAGACACGGTATTATAAAGGCTACGTTGAGCAAATGCCTAAGAAGAAACGGCGAATTAAGACAACTGGGCGGGTTCTAAAAGCTTGGTCTATATAAAAAGCCAACAAACTAAAAGACGGATGCCTGATAAAGAGCCTTTGCAGGAGACACTGCGTTAAAACTGGGTTGATATCTTACCCATCACCTTCAGAGAGGACGTCCGCATGTGCAGATAGTAATCCGCACGAAAGATCTTGCACTCCGTTCGTACAACTTGGTAATCCAAATGTAGGTCTTATAATACTTACGGAAAAGTGTCGTAATCAAGATGTGCCAATGCCCAACAAAACATTCCGTAGAAGTGAAAATAGACTTAACTTTGCCTTTCATTTTTTTAAATAATAAAATGGCTCCTACAGGGAGGAATGCATGGTCCCCGTCGCCTATCCCTTGTGTGTGCTTACCAATTAGAATGGGATATTAAAACCACAACCCTCTCTTTTTCGTGTCAACTTTTATGGTGAACAGGTTCCGAGACAACGCACGGCGTATATCCATGATCATGCAGGATATGCAGGCCATGTCTCCACCAGTAAAGACTGTTGCTCACTGGATCTTGCACGTCACCAAGTTCGGCGGAGATCACCTGCGTCCGGCCGTACTGGACCTGAACTACATCCAACGGAACCTTCTCGATGTGTATCTCTTCATTTTGACCATCTTGGCGTTGGTCCTAGGGGTGAACTTTTATCTATGCTTTTGCTGCTGTAAGCGAATGTGTGTTAAGGCCGGGAGAAGCCATCTTAAAAAGGAGTAGGTTTCACCATTCATTTTGGTAACCAATAGGGTTGCTTACTGTTGCCATTCTCTCCAAATTAACACATTTAAGCATTGTTTAATCCTGTGTGACTGTTTTACCAATGAACAAAAAGTGCGTTGCTACAGACATATGCCTACAATTGTTATAATTGTAGCTATAATTACAATTTGCAAGCTTTAACCAGCTACGTGTACCTTGACAGGTAATCTCAGGGGATTGTAGAATCGTAGAAATCTCGTTATTCAACGCAAACATTCCGAGGAAAAAATGAAAAACTGTTCAGAATCAGGCGAAATTTATTGAAATATTTATAATATACCATCAATTACTTATTAATTTAATTTCATAAATACGTGCAGAAGTGATAACTGCAGCAAGAGGTAAAAACGTTGGACAAGTAATGGAGACAAAATGTTGGTTGATTTTTATCAAATAGGCTTTTTTAGGCTTTTTAGGCTTTTAGGCTAGAGTGTTTTAATCGCAACAGATGAACCTTCAAGTTAACAGCGGTATTTGGTATGTACTACTAGAGTACGAATTATTTTAGACCGAAAAAATCCATATTTTAATGATTGTGATTCCTTCCTGATAAATTTCTTTGTCATTTTACAAGACGACAGATATTTTCTATGAATGTAACATAACGTAGCATTAAATTGGCCCTGTCACATGAAACACACAGTACAAATGAATTACATAAGAACCAGAACGATTTGCTTACCAAAATCATCGAAAATCACACGAAAATGTTTGTGAAAGGATGGAAAAATACCAAGTACCAGGCAAAAAGCATCCATTGATTATATGATAACCAATGCAACAAAAATTAAACAAAGTCTGAGACTTCTCTGTACATTTTTTAGAGGGGGTGATGATATTGCACTGTTTAGTACTCATGCATAAACATATAATGGCAGCTAGAGTGAAATATTTCAATCTGTAGCTGGAGCAGGAAAACAACGTTTCATCATCTTTCCTTTTGTCGTCAGTCAAGTTCGACGTGTTTTTGCTGTGCTTACTTCACGGTGTTGTTTTCCTAGGGTTTTTGGTACTAATATTTGATAAATAAATATGGTGATTACTTTTTACCTTTGAAGTTGTCTTTGTAAAGCAATCCGTGTGGAGTTTCCCCGGTGGATACGACATTACTTTTAACAACAGTTAATATGTATGACTTTTATCAAAGATATCTATATCAGTTAAAACAGTTGTTCATTTTAAAGATACTGGTATATTTGTACAAGCTTCTTGTATAAATATGGCGAAAGGTCGTTAGTCACACCACAATCTAATTGTTGCATATTTGTCCCATGCACTGTAAACTGATCTCTCCAGTCCTAACATGCTGAGTATTGTATAACCCTTTCTTGCTACTCGAAAACTATCACTTTGTGGCGACACAAACCAGTTTTTTTCCATAATGAAACCATTTTGCCAAAGCAGACTTATAACAAAGTAAACAACATTCCCAAAACACCAACGGCTATTTTTTTCATTACTGCTCTTTATACCTTTCCACGTAATTTGATGCTTTCCTTCGTATACTTATATTTGCTCTTTTAGGACACACAACAAAGACATCATCATAAATATCAATATAACTTGCGCCTGCGCACTTATAGAAAATATTACTAGCTTTTAAGAGTGTACTTTAGGTTATGTCTCTGCCTTTACAAACATTAATACCAAAAAGAAATCCGCCCACCCCTTTAATATGTCCCTAAGTTTTTACACTTCAAATTTCAATTTGATCGATCTTAAATTCTGAAGACGAGCCAAGAAGTTGACTGAAAAGGGATCTGAACCTGCAACCCTTGGCATATTGTACCAGTGCTCCACCAACAGAACTATCCAGCCTTCCGTGTGTGGCTCTTCCCATTTGTCTATCTTTTTGTTTTGTGGCGCTTGTCAGAAGCCATAAAGCCCGAAGTTTGATATATCCAAGAATCACACCCCAAATACATGGTGAAATCTGGGAAGTGATGAACATTACCATTTGGAATATACCATCAGGCCCACCAAGGCTAAGCATATTCCTAGCCGTAAACCGGATGTCATGAATGGAATGTCATCACTGTTTAAATACTGGACATGCGTACAAGTTGACGAGGGCTCTATTGCCATAGGTGTGACGTCGTGAGGGATACTTTTTCAATTAAACATCGCACTATACATCCCGAATTAAAAGACCTATTAGATACTGAAGAAGATAGGATGTGATCACCCCCCACCCACACACACACGCGTTTTGACAAGTAGAATGGGCTACTGAATATTCCCTCCAATTTTTAAGGCAGATTGTAAAGAGTTTTTCGGACTTCCCAACAACTGAACTGTATTCAGTAGTAAGAAGGCCAAATCGTGCCACTGAAAGAAAAAAAATCAGTGCTCAACAAATTCGTAAAAACGAATTAATTCGTTATTACGAATTACTAATCCATTATTATTAATTACTAGTTCGTAGTATTAGTAATCCTTAACAACAAATCACTAATTTGTTGTTACGAATTACTAATCCGTAGTTACGAATTAATAATTCGCAGTGTTAGTAATTGCTATTACGAATTAAAATTCCTCATTAGGAATTAGTAATTCGTATAATAACGAATTAGTAATTCATAATACTTTTTTTCATGTGGCACAATTGCACTTTTGTACAATAGCACTCAAAATTGGAGAACAATTGTAAAAAGCCAAATATACGCCATTTTGATGTAAGGTTCTGAAAAGGGTGCAGTACGTATTACAGATGTAAATCCACATCCTGTCTCCCTCGTTAGCTTCTCAAATTTCCATGGCCACAAAAGTCATCCCCCCTTTCTTCATCCCTTCCCTCTTCCTGGCACAAATTGACACTGCTGACACCAGACATGGCAACTAATCAAAACAACGCAGTAAATATAATTTGATGCTCAGAGAAAATGTAATTTCGTTCGGTTGATGAGCTTGGTAGCGAATTAGAACGAAATTAAGTTCTTACTGTGGAATGTATCACTCTGTGTCGAGGAGGTGTATTGAGCTATGAGTCTCGGGTATATAAGTCGGGGTGTGGCAAGAATGTGCCATCTGCGGTCCGACATGCAAACACTTCTTCATCATAGCAACATATGCTTGTTATTTGCAAGTTTTTTTTCCATTTTTTCCCGCAGTTTTTTCCCCCATTTGGTTTTCTAGCCTACAAATAATATGAATGTGGCGATGATGGAACAAGCCATAAACAGATTGTTATTATTTAAATGACAATTATTTATCACATGCTTTTAATTTATTTGAAGGTCATGAACCGTCGTCAATACTTAGATATAGGTACAGTATTAAAACAATAATGATTTCACGTATTGCTTAGTAATTTTACAATGTAACGTCTGGATTGCAAGGACAGTAAATGGTACCAGTCAGTAAGACATAATCTAATGACATGAGATCTTTAAGGTCTCAGAGAGGAGCGTTCTTAGTTCTGAATCAATTAAACGAATGAAGTAATAAATAAAAGGGGTGTGCATGCCTGTCGGTCGCCCTCCCAAAGTTGTAAGTGAAGTGTCGTGGACTCATTAAAGGAATAACTAAGGGAGCCCCGTAGTTTCAGAAAATGTATCTTTTGAAGATACAACAGAGACTGCTTTTGACAAAAACGGGATGATTTCTCAGACAAATACGGTGAATAATAAAATAAACAAATGAAATTTTGCATTGACTCTGTAAAGTTCGATTCTTTTTCACCTGGAGTTGGGTTACAATAAAAAAAGTTGCACTGTGGACGTTGTGCTATTAGTTCCTCCAGGAATTAACGGGACATTCACTACCCGGCTTCATTTTCAAAGCAGTTTTTAATAACAAAAAACACGCCATTCTTGCAAAATGTTGCAGCGTTAGGACAATAAAGGAGTCGCGGATGGAGTTTAAGTCGGATAATGCCTCTCTGTAACGAGCCATTCGTGGGCAAGAACGGCCCTCGGGTCCATTCTTGCAAACGAATGTCGCGTATCTGGGACATTACCATTTACGTATTCCCCAAGACATTTCACCTCAGTTAAGCCATTGTGTGTCTTAAAGCACTTCGAAATGTAGTGAGGAGTTTAAGCTTTCAACCCCTTCATCAATGTACTGTACCGTTGTGTGAGTGGCTGAACCAGCTTTGAAGAGGACTTATGCTGTGTTGGGTTGCATTGGTCTAGGAAACTCTAAGGCAAGGTTCCCGTGGAACAGATAGAATAAAGCTTGGTTGTTGGATTCATAAATGCTGATCTCTGGCCGGATGTTGTGCTTGACTTTAAGCTGATAGAAACCTTTGAAGTCGAACAATAGGAACCACCAAAATCGGTAATACACGTGAGCCAGGGCATTTTGGACTCGCTGGAGAAACATTCTGTCAGTGAGGCCCAGCACATGTTCGGGAGATGTAAGGCAGTTCAACCGGCGACCCTACCCTGCATAAAAGCGCTGAACAATTCTCGTGGCTCTATTTGTATATTTAGTGGGTTTTTTTTTAATTAATCATTCATGAACACCTTAGACAGTTTAGTCATTCCTATCGGTCGAGAGCCGGTCGGGGATTTTAAAGAATGAAGGAAAATGGTGTCTATTTTTTACACATGACTATCTGACGTTCTGAAAGTATTCGTGAATGGGATTGAATGTGTTTGGCCTGAGGCTAATTTAATGTCCCTTGCCCCTGGCTTGTGTTCTGCGCCATCTCAAGTAGTACTTTCCGAGCCGAACTTCAAACAAGAAGATTACGACCACTCAGAAGATCCAAGCGCACAAAATAACATGGGTGGGGTGCGCTTGTACGTGGTGCCTTGTTGGGTACCGGAACAATGGGAAGTACCCCATAGGGTACTAGTGAGAGAGTGCCCCACAGGGATTTAACGAAACTGATATTTGGAAATAACTCAAAAAGGGAAATTAGTGATGGGTAAAAATCTGTAGAAAATTGAAGTATTTATATAAAGGACATACGGTCGAAATTTCAACCCCGGCAAGTGAATTTGGTTGAAATGGGAGTGTTTTGGAATTTTGTTGCGTCTTGTGTGGGAGTTTTGTTCACGAGGACAAAGGGAATACCCCAGACGTATGCCTGTGTAGGGTTGTGTGGAGTTGTGTGTGTAAACTTTCTGACCGAATAAACATGTATTTGACAATTCTTAATTAGATTTTCTTTTTCTACTAACATCTGTAACTGACAGCACAAAAATCCACATTTTAATGACTTTAATAAAATGATTTCTTTGTCAGTTTACGAAATGACAGATATTTTCTGTGATGTAAAATATTGTAGCATTAAATTGACGTTTTGGTCAGTTGTACTCCGCATAGTATAGTTATAGGAGAGGGAACGGAGTGTCCTTGCGTGCTAAACGGAATTCAATTTAAACGAAATCAATTTAACTTGACGGATCCTCAAAATAAAAAGGTAATTAAAAAAATAATTTTAAAAGTTCAGGTTTTTTAAACATGTTTTTATGAAATGCCCAGTTCAGTTCTCGTGAATAAGCCAGTGATGGCAGCTAGAGTACAATGTTGGAGCCGTAGCCCGAAAACCTTTTCTCTACGTTTGCGTTAGTCATAGACACTGTTCTACATGTTATAATTGTGTACTTTGAAGCAGCCCATCTGCTAAACAGTGCCTCTAGGAATCCAAAAATAGTACTGACAATGTAAATGCTGAAAAGGGGGTTATCGTTTAAAAGTGGTTGACATGTATGATTGTTATCAAAGACATCTGTATCAGTCAATAATTGTCAGTTGAATTGGAAGATACGAATGTTAGTACAAACCTCTTGTGTAAATATGCTCGTTAATCTCACCAAAAAGTAAAGCCAGTTATAGCACATGGATTTTGTCCCATGCACTGTGAACTGACCTTTCTTGTGCACACATGCCATGCAAGACTAACATACAACAAAGTCAAATATAAATTTTTCACAAAAAAGATCAAAGGGTTTCCTTTTCTAATTGCCATTTTTTAAATTTTCCACGTACTTTGATATTTTCCTCCGTAATATTTGCTCTTTTAGGACACAAGACAAAGACACCATCATTAATTTTAACATCACCACAATTTGCGCCTGTGTGCTTATAATAAAGCTCACTAGATTTTGAGAACGTACGTATTTTTAGGTTATGTCTCTGCCTTTTACAAGCATTGATACCCAACAGCAATCTGATCACCCCGTTAATCATGTCGCTACCTTTTCACACTTCGAATTTCAACCTGGTTGATCTTTAAATCTAAAGATGAACTAAGAAGCTGCCAGGAGCAAAACTCGAACTTGCTTCCTCCAGAACCACATTATCTATCAACTGAGCTATCCTGCCCAACGTTAGTTGTCCTTCCCAGTTGTCTTCTTTCGTTCTGTGGCGCTTATCAGAAGCCATGGAACCCGAGGCTTGATATATTCAAGGATTACGCCCCAAATACACGATGCAATTTGGAAGTGACGAACACGACTATTTGGAATATACCATCAGGCCCACCAAGAATCAAAATATTGCCAGTCGTAAACTGGGAATCATGAATGGATGATCGAATGGCAGCACTGTTTCGGGGACACGCGTTCAGGTTGACGTGCGCCCTGTTACCATTGATGACTGCCGTGAGGAATACTTGTTCAATGAAACATCGCCGCTAGACCCTGAACTGCAAGACCTACTTTATGTAACCAGGTCAAGGTTTGCCCTATCTCATCTGACGCTGGTTCCTTTTCTTCGTTCAGTCAGTGAGTCATATGGTCACACTGATTCCATTCCTTTCATTCCGTCTCAACTGCACCATTTAACCCCATCTAAGGGTTCTTTACCAGACTATCTTAAATCCAAGTTCCCATTGTTTACCAGGCACAACTACGCCACTGTTAGTGTACAGCGCCCCCACCAGTCGAGATCATGAAAGGCCACTCTTGCAATGACAACCCATTGACTAAAAGTAATGATATCCAATAAGGAGAATATTACTTAAGTTATTTTGGTAAAAATCTGGGGGTAAGAGTTCCATACATTAAGTTCATTTTACCTACATGTACACCCCATGTACAAACCCTCTGAGAGTCTCGGGCTACAAACAACACAGTTTCATTTTTGGCCTTACCTACTTCTTCTGGGATAATGTCCACTTGAAAGGAGTGTAGTTTCAGGGGCATGTGGTGTTGAGTTGCTCGTTTTGCAGGCGGGCAATAGTTAATCGATAACCTGGACCCGAAAATCCAAGCTAGTGAGCGGACGCCTCGTGGGGGTGCTGTTGTACACAATGGTAGCATTAACCAAACAGATTTCAAGAACTGCAAAGAAAATTTGTTTCCACAATTTCAGGGATCTATGATGATGCGTGTAGTGCTGACACATTGTGATGCTAAGTCACTTCCAAAATCCGGTTCTTGATCCTGGCCAGTTCTTGATCTTCCTAAACAGACAACCAGCTGCTCGCAGGATCCATTCAACACTTTGTTTTAGCTCATTCTACGATGAGTGCCTAGCTAGCAATCTGTCAGTCGGGTTAACTGAATCTGCATGCTTGGTGGCATATATGGTGACAATCTCTTTCTCATGTTTTACTTCTGGACCTTTATCATCTAGAGTTGTTGAGATAGGTGTACGTGGCAACATGCAGTTGTCTTGGCTCAAGAATTCAGGACAAATCAACCAATTCTGGTTGGCCAGCAGCTCATCAGCGGTTTGTCCTCTAGTGATAACATATCTGCTGGATTCAGCCAGGTTTCCACATCGTGCCACTGATTAAGACTTGACTGGTTCAGTATGACTGCTACTCTGTTCGCCACAAAGGTATGGAAACGCCTCTCTTCATTATTGATGTATCGAAGTACAATGGTGCTATCGGTCCAGAGGACTGACTCCTCCACAGGTAAGTCAAACTCTTTCCTGATCATTGCATCCAGCCTCACTGAGAGTGTCGCAGCTATCAGCTCGAGCCTTGGTATAGTAACCCTTTTTAGGGGTGCCAGACGTGACTTTGACAACAGCAGACATGAGCAACTGTGTCCTCCATAGTTCCCCATGCGAAGGTAAGTTGCAGCCCCGTAGGCTGCCTTGGATGCATCAGAAAGATGATGTAACTGATATCTAATGCCGTCTTTGAACTCGTAGGGCTTGACGCATTGGTTTATCTGCAGTTGCTCGAGTTTGTTCAAGTCCTGTTTCCAAAGTTGCCAGTCGTCTCTGTGTTGTGACGGCAGTGCTTTGACCCAAGGCAGCTTCTTCCAGCTTAAATCTTGAACAATCTTCTTGGCTAACAGAGTGAAGAGACTAGCAGACCCATGCGGGTCATAAATGGAGGATATAATACTCAGCAACCCTCTCCTTGTCAATGGTTTCTCCTTTGGACTTACTCGATACCCAAGACAATCTGTCTGGACGTCCCACTGCATCCTCAAGGCCCTCTCTGTTGGTAACGCTTCATAATTCAGCTCTGGCTCTCTGACGCCAACAGCTCTCCCTTCTCGAGGAATTGACTGAAGGACTCGAGGCCTGTTGCTCAACCACATTGTTAGCTGAAAACTGCGTCGGGACAGAAGTTCTCGTAACTCTCAAGAAACCTGGATAGCCTCATCATCAGTCGCTAGTAAAACTAAGCAATTATCCACGTAAAAATTACGCATGATGCAACTATTGTGTCCGGATGGAAGTTTTGACAGTTGTCTTCTGCTGTATGCCGTAAAGCAAGGGAACAGCAACTGGGACTCCATATCCCATCGAAAGGGTGCGCAGTCATCCTGTGCACAGGCAGTTCACGTGAGGTATCACCGTCGGGCCACCAAAAATAACGCAAGACATCTTTTCATTCCGGTGACACTCTGACCTGGTGGAACATGGCTAGAATGTCTACCATTACAACCACTTGCTCTTGTCGGAAGCGCAGGAGTACGCCCAGTAACTTGTTCGTCAGATCTGGCCTGCTGATTGTCTGCGTGTTCAAGGATTGACCATTGTGCTTTAATAACAGCACAGTCGAAGACTATGCGCATGTTCCCTTGTTTACCCGAATCAAGTACCGGATGATGTGGTAGATACCATGTGGTCGTATCTGATGTGCGGTCGTCTCCGGCAACCTCCTCAGCAAATCCATTATTAACCAACTCTTTTATGTCTTCTGTGTAGCGTGACTTCAACTGATGATCCTTTTCCAGACGTCTGCCCAATGCGGTCAAGCGTTGCTCCGCGACAATTCGATTGTCGACAAGCCTTTGTTGGTCGTTCTTTAAAGATATTGGCAGTTCATAATGTCTACCCTTCGGGCAAAGAGTCTTCTCCCACAATGCTATCACTCTCTAGTCTTGGATTGACATGCCCTTGTCATCATCATAGAGTGACTCGGCAGCATCCAATCTCCAGAGCCTCTGAAGCTGTTACTCAAGTGTGTCATGGACTGCTACATAGCTTAAGGTGACTACAGATTTTCTGGTCATCGCTTATGACCCATTTAAGGACCATCCAAGTTGTGTTCTGGTAGCGTATGGTGCATTTGATTCACCACTTCTCACTTCCAATGGCATGAGAGCTTCTGGCGAGTCTTGACCAATCAGCAGTTGTACCTTGCCCTTCTCAACTTGGGGAGTGTTGATGCCTCGTGCATGTGGCCACTTCTTGACATCTTCTGACTCGGTTATGTTGACGTCATTAATTGGGAATGCTTGTCGTGTGTAGACTTTCTCCAGGTTAACTGCTGCCTGTCTGTCGAAACTCCTCACCACCAAACTGATGACAGTTGTTTTGATCTTTTTCTTTGTCTTTGCAATTGTTATAAGAGTCAAAGACTGTCTTTTCCCATCAATGTTTAGCTGACTTGCAAGCTCTTCAGTGCTAGTTGGTCCATTGTCAAGTAGAGCATAAGTGTCGAAGCTAGAACTGCCTTCTAAGGCACTGACCTTCACTGCAACAATAGGTTGGACTACTCTGTACACCCCGACCCCTGTGACGCAAGTTATGCCAACTTAGGTCCGTCTCAGTGAAGCTACTTTGCAATGTTGCCTCTGGCCTAGCTGCGGTGACATCTTCGGTGCTAGGTGACGGAGTCTGCTTCAACTGATGCAAGAACTTTGTGTGTCTTTTGCCACATCCTGCAACAGAACAACCTATATTACAATTAAACAATTGTAACACAACCTTTCAGTTTTGGCGAAGTTAAACCGCTCTTCTNGGGGTTTTACCTTTGAATTCCAAACAAACAAACAAGCAGCGTATGGTTTCCCTTTTACATTACACATGTCACATGTTCATTTCCGTTGGTATTGGTGACTAAAGCATAGCTACTCTTATCAGGTCGTGTTACTTAACTTCTTAACTCTGGTTTGTGTGGTTTACTTAAATGTAAACTACCGTATACATGATCATTGGCCTCCAGGGCCGCATCTTCTACAAACTCTACCAAATCAACAATCTTAGGCAACTTGTTACTTTTCCTAAGTCCCCTTACAAGTTTCATCCATGAGTTATGTAGAACTGGGTAGTTTCTCAACAAGTTTTACCATTACACCTTGGGTCCCTATTTCTTGGATATACCCCATAGTTCCAGTGTTTCTTTGCAAACCTTGAGGTCATCAGCAAATTCTCTCAACCCTACTTTATAATGGGAAGCTAAATTTACACCCCTGGTTACTTTATTTACCCATGCCTCAGCAATGACATGATCACTACCAAATCGCTCCTTTAACAGAGCCATGGCTTCATGGTACCCCACACCTGGCTGCATTATGGCACAACACTCTGCGACCTTCCTTGCTTTGTCGGTGCAGTATTGCAGTAGTCTGACCAGCTTAGCACTGTCATCAACAACAGAATTACCAACAATGTTCTCGAATGCACGCATGAAAGTCCAATATTGTAGTGGGTTGCCATCGAAGGTCAACAGCTCTGCTTTCGGAAGCTGTATCCTTGCTTTTGTCCCTTTTCCACCAATTCCAGCGGTGATGCTCGGTCCTCCAGGGTGTCTTCATCCTTCACGGTTGCCTTGGGTTTCTCCACGGACAACATATTCCTTTTGATGTATCTGTTCATGTCCTGCTTCAGGCATACTGTCCTCACGTGACTCTTGCAACTGCATGTCGTTCAATGCTGATGTCGAATTTGGGGGTGTCATGCGAACTTGGACATCATCAATGGCATAAATTGTTTCTTCCGCTTTGCCATGTCCATCTTGGCCTTGATAGTGAGCTCCGCCTTTTTTGTCGGCGTTTCAGCTCTTCCAGTTCTATGGCTTGTATCTCTCGTAAACTTACCACTTCGGCCTCAAGTGCTGCCATTTTGGCGATAAGCCTCTTCCTGGTTCTACTAAGTGACGACTTTGTCGTGCTTGCACTCGACGATATTTGACTGGCAGAGTCCTATTGGTGTACAAGCTCTCCTTGCCCATCACCATTTTCACATGCTGGTGAGCCACCATCACGGTGCTTGATGCTGTGATCACCATCACTGGCTACATTCATATTGTCGGTGTCTTCGTAGGTCCCAGCCATTAAACCCTTTTGACAGATGACAGATGTCCACACAATGAACTTGAATTGTGAGCTGGTGATTACGGATATACTTAACACGCTGAACACGGTTTCATCTGTCCACAAAAATACACAAATTGAATTTACAGAGTTTTGCCTTTAACAGTTACAAATTAACAACATGAATCAACAACAGCAATTTGTTTGATTAAATTTAAGCAATCATGACTAATCACAGAATAACAAACAATTAACAGTTTTGATGATAATAACCTTGTGTGCAGTTGTACATGTGCATGACGCCCGATTATATGCAATAAACCCTATACCTTGACGTGCTTAATAAAGACACAACCTTGTAAATTGTCTCTGCTTTTGTTGTATTTTTCTACCCCATGGAATACTTAAACCTATCCCTAAATACCCATAGAAAGCCATTAGAGCCAATAAAGTAAATTTAAATAATGCATTGAATGAATCCCACTTACGACTTTGGGATGACGTGTGCACTGAAACCAAATTACATGGTGACTCATGAAGTGTAAGCTGAAATTTTTAGATAGTGCGTCTACTGAACAGCGCCCTCATTTGACAAATGGCAACAAACAAATTAATATATCGATAAAAGAGCATTCGGGCTTAAAGGCTTGTCTCCGAAACTTTAAAGACGCTAGGACGGGCCATACATGATTGTCGACAAGTTGTCCAACGTCACCTGTTGGATACAACGCAATCCCAGGGGAAAGAAGAAAGTTGTTCATTTTGATCAGCTTAATACGACTGAGTAATGGCGAGCGAAGGAAACACCCGTAGCACGAAAACCAAAACAAACAGCACGAAGGGAAGAATCTATTGCCATTGGGCCCGAGCTAGCCTGAGGTGCGGCTGATGAGCCTGATAAAGACGGCGCTGTTGCGTCAACCGATAGGAGAAACGGGATCAGGTCAACTCGGACCCAAACCAACTCGGACCCATTCCAACTCGGACCCATGCCAACTCGGACCCAATACTAACTCGATCGGACCAACGACCATCTCGGACCCACAACCAACTCGGACCCACGTCAATTCGGACCCACGNCTATTTCGGGTCCACCTCGAGTCAACTCGGACCCACTGAGTCTTATGGTTGCTTTACACCAAATACGCGCCCGTAGGCCGAAATAGCGCCGAGGCCTTGAACCTCGTGAAGAGGTTGGCCTTCATTTTTTTCCCTGGAAATTCAAGATAATTGTTTTGCCGCTTGTTATTCAAGATTATGGCCAGATTGATCACTTTTCGTTTCAATTTTATGAACTTTTTTATTTGCCTTTTCCCGAATATACCCCCCTAATAGTAGTAAAATTACGCGCTCATATGAATGTAGCCGCCTGCCTCTATCCAAAATAGGCCCGCATTGTGGGGCTTTTTGTGAAAGAAATACTCTGAACCGCAATCCCAAATTCGGGATATATATAAATAATTCTATGATCTCTCGTAATTAAGGCACGTTTTATTGTAGAAAATAAGAAACCATGGGATCACAAAATATTAATAATGAGCCCGCGAGCAGACATACGACGCTTCAAAACCGTCTCCAAGTTTAAGCAATAGGAGATATTCCACATTTTTATTTTAAAATGATTTGATTTGTGTTGTTCGAAATTACCAACCTATTTGCGTTATTTTTACAGTCAGTTAAGGCCTGCTTGGATATCGATGAATTCCTCCATCTGCCTAAATCTTGCCAGTATTGGGGGGAGGGAATGGGGCAAGGTGGAGGTGCAAGACTTGCCAGGCAAAAAAATTGAAAAGTGAGGTGGGGGATAACACCATTAGACACTATAAAAGGTCAATGTTCGTGACATTGATGTATATCTGCAGTATCTGTTGTACGTATGCAGCATCTCTTATGTACATTAAAAGGCCTATCTGTGGTTTTTTATTGCAACAAAAACTTTGAGAGCTGTTTGGTGAAAGTTCATTCGATTTCTGCTGGTGATCTGGAGTGCCAAAAAAACTTCGGAGAAAGGGCGTCAATGATTTGGTACTGTCAATCACACTCCAAAAGCTGCTCCCATTGGTTGTCCAAAATCAGTCTTTGTGGTTAATCACGCCGGTACCTCGGAAGCTGCCTCCATAAAAATACGACGCTCGTCGGTTACTTATCACTTGTTCCAAGACATCACTAATATCAATTCTAGTCCACGTACGGTTTTTAACCGCCATGCCTGTTCAAACTCGAAAACGGAGAAATTCTGGGAAGCCTGTGCCACTGTTTTCCTGCATAACGTGTAGAGAGGACGTTAAATCTCGGCAGCAAGCAGTGCAAAAGTGTCATTTACCAAATGCTAAAATGTACAGTGGACAAAGTAAAAATTTTCAACAAGTTTATCACGCTCCTGGGGTTGGGTCCGAGTTGACTCAGGTGAGTCCGAGATGGTCGTGGGTCCGAGTTAGTATTGGGTCCTAGTTGGCATGGGTCCGAGTTGGTATGGGTCCGAGTTGACTCGAAACCGGAGAAACAGTGGCACCCGAGGAGGAGTAAACAGGGAACACAGATGTGAGGTACGGGCTACGGGGCGGGGCTTACCAGGGGTAGCTGCGAAGCGGTCCAGAAACGTGCCAGCGCAAGCAGCCGCGAACCCCACCCAAGCGTTAAGGCGAAACCCCAACAGGCAGCGCAGGAAACCGCAGCGGTACCTGTAGTTGCAGGGACAGGAGGAACCTCGGTGGGGGGGGGCACCACACGTATATAGAAATAAGAAATTATCCTGGGATATAATTGTTGAACAAAACCCCTACATGTTGCAGGTTGATGATTGGGAAAGGCGCAGTGGACGCCAAGGCTCCAAAAGGAGAGACGTTCAAGTGCAAGAGGTGTGGCGAGGCGTTCCTGCACCAGCGCAGCCTGACAAGGCAACTAACCAATCCTAGACGCCGTCTTCACAACCCTCTGTAAGAGTGTCCGCTGGGCCACCGTGGTTCCACTATACCAGACCGTGACGGAGTGCATAAGAACGCTCTGCGCCACCGACCGGTAAAAATTAACCAGCTCACGCTGTCCAAAGCCAAAGCTCTTCAACCGACGTAGGAAGAAGAGCCGCTGCTGGGCCTTTTTCACGCAGTGGTTAACTTGTGCCAACCATGTCAGGTTGCTCGCGAGGTGAATGCCCAGGAACTTAACAAAAATGACTCTTTCAACTTCTAAAGAGTCAATAAACACAGGAGAAATCGAAGGTTTTAACAACGTTCAACTCGAGGTTGTTCTCTGAGCACCACCCCACGAACTCCCCAACCTGAAGGCGATATTCACTTTCGTCACTGCGTCGAATCAGGCCCACAATAGTCGTGTCATCAGCAAACTTATTTACTACATTATTACCAAGTGAAATGCAGTCATGCGTCATCAGTGAATATAACAATGGACTCAAGACACAACCCTGTGGGGCTCCAGTATTCAATAATCTCGTTACAGAAAAATTATTACCAATTCTTACTCGCTGAGGCCTAGCCGTCAAAAAGTCAAATATCCAGTGGCACAGGGCACGAAGCAAAATATTCAAATTTACTACTTTACTGAGCAACTTATGAGGTAGAATGGTGTTAAAAGCATAACTAAAATTAATAAATACTAATCGAACATAAGACAGTGTGGTGACTGAGTGGCAAATTAGCACGAGGAAGGAGGAACTTTACATGGCATGACAAACTGGTTTATTACACGCCATCTTGGTTTTCATGACAAACAACAGAGGGCGGTATTCAACAACACTACATTCACCCTCTTTCTTCAGATAACAGCTTGAAAC